GCCTGTTGAAAGACATAGATCTAAATTAGGCTCTCTGCAGGTGGCTAGAGAAACTTGAATCTGAAATATCGATCAGTCAGAAAGCGTGGCTGTTGGAAAAACGTGGTGGTTTGTAGCCACATTTCACTGTCTGCCTTTGCCCAGGTGTGTTACAGATAGCAGGCCTTCCCGTGCTTTTAGGGTACAGCCAAAAAAAGGTGTAAACTCCCTGTGAAATGGGGAATTTTTTCACTGTCAGGTGGGAATGACAGAAAAGAGAACCCATGGGAAAAATCAGGAGGTGGCTGAGCATGCATCAGCTTTTTAGGTATTTACACTCACCACTGAACTCACCAAGCCCACCCCTCAGGAGCCAGGTAATCCCAGGGACAGCTGGGTCACTACAGCAAAACCATAGCTCAGAACAAGTCTTTGTCAGTGGGTTCAAGAGGCAAATAAAAGCATGCTCATTTTATAGTATTATATTTTATAGAGTAGTCTGTAGTGAATTTGCATGGCATGACCTCCCTGTACATTCTCACCTATACAACAAAAGGATTAGACACAAGCTGGTGATTTCAGTTTGTGGCAACTGTGACATTACAAAAATGACTTTGCTTGCATGACAGCAAATGAAAGGTTTCAAAAATTGCATTTGGGTCAGTCAGATGCAATTTGATTTCCTCTTTTTATCTTAAAGCTGGAATGAATAAATGACAATAGAGAGAAAGTGGCAATTGGTTATTGAAAACTGCTTGCTGCCCATTTCAAAACAGTACTAATGGGCCATGCGTGGCCAGTTTGTACTCCAGCTGGGAACTGGGAACTGGATTAATTGCTGAAATGCACTACTGTTGAAGGGAAAAAGGTACTTCACAAGAAAAAAAGGTGAAATATTATATGGAAAAGTAAGATGTTGCCAAAATACACTTTTCTTTGTAGGACCTTTGGGTCTAGGCAAGCCAGTTTTTTAGCGTAGAAACATAGTGCTAGAAAGTTTTCGAGCAGTTCTTTCAAAAGTGAGGAGGTGGCTTTAATGGAGGGGAAGCATTTCATGGGTTTTCTGGTTAACACAGTGAGTCGGGTGGAAGATTCAGCCACTAGTTTACACAGAGCCCAGAATTCCTCTGAGGACAGGAGGGCTCTGTAGGGGCAAGGAGGACAGCATGCTCCTCGTGGCCACCAAGGGGGCCACTGCTCACGAGCCTAGGCAGCGAGGCCTTATAGGGTCAAGGGAAAATCCCAGGTTTGCCATGCACAATACATCGCCAAAAACAACCACAGTTGTGTCTTCCTTACAGAGGGATCAGCAGAGAAAGGTGCTGATCTGTGACTGATTTTAGTCTTGATAAAAAGAGCAGATTCTGTTATCCTGTATTACCTGTGTTTCTCCTTTAGTCACTATCTGTTTTGTTGCTGGTAACTTCTCTGTGCAACAGAAATCTGTTTGGAAATTTGGAGGCCAAGTACATCATAAATAAATGATATTATTTTTACAATTTCAAATACAGTTACAAAAGATTTGTTGTAATTTTCTGTAAAATGTAAAAAAGTATAATGAACTGTTGCCTGTTAATTCTGGTTTTGGTTAAAACAATTTTGGGTTACACAAGCTGTTTTCTAAGTCCTGAAATAATACTTTAGGGAAAATTTATGGTTAGAAAGGCTATTCAGAGCTCTAATTTTGCACAGATGAGGCATTTGACCCTCTTCCTGTGGTCACACAGACAACTGACCAAGCAGCTGCAAGCAGCTTTCACACCTGCAGCATCCTTTCATGCCTGGGCAGTGCTCACGGACTGAACCGAGAGATTGTAACCTCTCCTGACACGAATATTACACCAAGCAGGGCAGCCTGTTTGAGAATCTAACACTTATAAGCCACTGTCACCTGAACCAGCTTGCTGTGTAAGTCACACCAGTGCTGGAAACCCAGAGCAGAATTCAGACCTGCTTTGGGTGCCTGCTCTGCCAAACCATTGCTGGAGGAGCGCACTTGCAAGAAGTGATTCCCACAGGAAACCCAGCATGTTGCAGGATTAATCTCTCTGCTGCGGCTAACTCACTTTGGTTTTATGGGTTTTGTTTCCAATGCAGATAGCTCTCAAGAGAGAACTCCACATTCCTGCTTTACGCATGTTACCTGGGAGTGGAGTGCCCTGATGGGGGCAAGGACTGCCGGATACAGCAGGCAAGGAGTGGTGAATGCATCAGGAAAGGACTGGTGAATGCAGCAGCCTCTCGTGACATCGGGGATTCCTCATGACACACCTTCGGTCCAGAGATCCCAGCACTGCAGGCACTGCTTGTGCAGGGGTCAGTGCAGCGGCTCCCAGGAATGCTGGGCTGCAGCCAAAGGTTAAGCAGGGCAAGGAGAAAACGACATGGATAAACTGCAGGTTGTCCTTCTGGAGGGTACGGCGGTGTGGGGTATTGAAAACTGAGGTGCTGGAGGGAGCAAAGCCTGGTGTCAGCTCCTTGCTGCCCCAGCAAAACAGGAGCTCAACATCAGCACAGGCATGAACACATCAGCGTTATCACAAAGGCAAGGGGCTGTGGACTTCCACAGCTGTAACATGACTTTCATCATATTAGCTGTATTCTGCTCCTTGCTGGATGTTGTAGCTCCTTCTGCTTAAAAAAATAAAAATAAAAAATACCAGCCTTCCTTTTTAGTAAGGGTAATTTTACACTTACTGTTTGGAAGCAAAATCATCAAACTAACCTGGATGTGCCTGAGTAAAACAGACATTAAGCACCAAATTAACAGAAAACAGAATGGGTTTTAAGTAGCATCTTAATCCACTTCTCCACTACTGCACCTTTTGAAGGGCTGGTTTGGCAACTGTGAAGATAAAAGGCGTGATACTCCTTAGAAACAGTACAAAGACTTCCAAAAGTCTTGCAGAGCCCTTTAATCCTAATTTTGTGCTCTGACAACCTTCTGCAGTTAAGTACTTCCTCAGCAGCAAAGCTGCCCTTGGATCTGACAGAAGTGCACTCCTCGAACCGCAGCAGCTTTGCCCACGTCTTTGGGTGGGTTTCTCTGCTGAATCACATGGGATCTCTTAGCAGGCAGAAGGATGTCTGAGCAACAGCTGTTGCTTTGTTATTTTGCTTCATTTTGTTTTGTTTTCAGGTGTCAGAACAGCACCCGGGTGACCTTTCCTATAGATTTTGGCCTCCCCATTCCTTCTCCACTTTGGTGTCAGTTTGGACGATGCTCACTGTCATTCCTCACCACTGCTCCTACTTGGACCCGCACTTCCCACAGTCAACTTGACAAACAAACTGCAGTGCCTGAGAGAATTTGTTTCTAAAATCCTTTTGTTCCTCTCTTTTGGTCCTAGAGCAAGTTTTACTGATTGTAGTTATTGTGCAAAAAATGGTAGGAAAGCTCTGTGACCCCATGAGTAATGGTCCTTCTTCTGTGCGGCTTCTTTCTGCTCCAGGCAGTGTGTGGTGACTGGACTGGAGAAAAAGGCAGCTGAAGATAAGCTAGAGGAGAAAAGGAAAACAGATTATGAAAATAAAGGCAGTTTCTCCTTGGGGATGATCTCCTGTCTGAAGAGCTGAAATCTCGCTTCCTTGTCCTTCGTCTTCTGCTTGTTGTTAGCAAATGTTGTCACACACGACAGGAAGGAAACAGAGCAAAACAGTTTTAGGAAGATGATGTTATCTGCAAATATGTGAGAGCACTGGTAGGAATCCCCGTTCGCCTTCTCTGATAAGAGGTTTTTAACAGCATCATCTTAGCATAATCTAAAAATTAAGGAAATACCTGAGGGAGGTTGGATCCCTTGGGGTTGTTTTGAAGTGCTATCAGCTACACATCTGTGTGCGTACGTTTAACCAGGACTGACTGCACAAAGGAGAGACGCCTGTCAGCTGCTGTCCAAACCAGCCCTAAAGCCACAGGCTCAGGACCAAATCCTGTTTGCCCAACACCGTGCTCCTGCAGCTGGCCTTGGCTGCTGTGGAGTTGGAGTGGTGGCATCCCCAGCAGCAGCACTGGCACTGCTTGCACTCTGTGGGTGCAAGCAGGCAGATGGGGGCTGTGCAAGGGCAGGGCTGGCCTTCAGCAGCTTGCTGAGCACAACCTGCACCCACCGACTGCTGGAAAACCCATAGAGGACAATCTCCTCCTCCTCTTCCAAAGGCCAAAGCCTTTGTAGGAAAGCCCCATCTCATAGCTGAGCAAGAAGCCCCAGGTACCTCCAGCTCCTGATAGCTCGCATCTGCCTGATTTTATTTTATTTTTTCAGAGTGTGGGAGATAAATCCAAAAGCATAGTTTTAAATATTTCATGGGAATTAGACTCTAGATTACATACATATGGGATCACTGTTTTTTTTTTTTTTTTTTTGCTGCTATTGTCAAGAGGGTCAGTACCAGGACTTCAGAGTCTGGGGCATGGCGTGACCATAAACACCGAGTGGTGTCACGGTTGATGGGACAGGTTTTCTTTGCTTTTCGGTGGACCTGTGCCATTGCACAGCAGCCAAAGACCCCGGTCCGTGGCATGCTGTAATGGAAATAACAAACATGGGCTTCCAGCTTCTCTAATTTCCAGGCAGCCGTATTAGCCGAGCTGGAAGATGGAAATGGCAAGCCATGAGTGAAATTAGTGTACTGCGGTAGAGGGAAAGCATTTGGGCTGACTGCGGTGGTGTGCACAAGTAAGATACCATCCTCTCTCTCCTGCTCAGCAATTCTTTTCCTTTATACTCCATTTACGCTGTATTAACTATTTATAAGAGATCGCTTTAAATCCGCTTTGCAGTCAGCATGCATGCACCTCATCTGAAGGCTCGTGGCTATTTGTTGAGGCTTCAGAGCTGTGAAAACATGCGGCGGGTAATTGCTACTGTGAGGGTTTCAGCTGAACAGGTGAAAAGTGTTTGTTTTAAGTGGCTTAAAGAAAAAAAAAGGCATTTTTCCACCTGCCCTCTCTTATTTCTGTGCAATCCAAATTCATTTAGATAAGAACATTAAAATGTGCTTGAGAAACAGATGTTAAACTGGTTAAAAGTGAATTTCGTGTTTGGGAATTGGGACATTACCCCTCGCCCGTGGGCTTGCTGAGGGTGCGTGTGGGCAGCGGTGTGCGGTGTGGTACTGCACCCTGTTGGTCTGCGGCGTTACCGAGCGCCCAGCACACTCACAGCCCTGTGCAAGGCGATTGATTTCACCTTACAGCTTTCCCTCAGACGAGTCGTCACACAATGCCGTGTGGAGAAAGGTGGGAAGGAAAGAAATTCACGTTCCTGCAGACAGCGTGACCTGCAGGGGTGAGAAGAAAAAGTTGGATTCAAAGCACAGGTGAGACTGAGGTGTCCTCCCTGACTAGTTAGTGGGTGGGAGCTGCAGAAAAAATAACGAGCCAGCAAGGAACAGGAACAGGGCTTTCGTGTCAGTTGTATGGAAGCAAGAGAAATGTTTTAAATCGTTACAGAAGGGTGACTCAAAGGAGTGACTCACGTGGTGTGCAAGAGAGCACGTTCGGAAGAACCCTAACAAGGTTTTGGGAACTGGCTGCCAAAACTAATTCCAGAGAAGGTGATGAAGAAGTTGTCAGATTCGGTCTGATCTCCCTCGGTACACGACCACTGAGCTCATTTTAACTCAGAAGCCAACCTCAGACAGGTGTCCCAGCAGACCAGAAGCACACAACTTCTGGAAGGGGGCCAAGGCGAATGGCACAGGAGCTTTGGGGCTGACAGGCTGCAGAAGAAGACTACCAGGGGGTCAAAGTGACTCCATGAGGTGGGTAGCAGGATCAGAGAGATCACACATCTCACCAAACCAGCCAGGCAGAGAGATCCACCCTCTCGTCTCGTCTCATCTCGGCAGCTCGTCTGCCGCCCACCCTCCCTGCCTACAGAGAGCTGCCAGAGGTCCTGTGTCTGCCTTGCCTTTGGTTTAGTTCGGCTTGGCCTGGATGACTAGGGCTTGCCCACTGCCATCATCGGCCCCAGGTCCTAACTCGGCACCCTGGGGCTGAATAGGATGAAAATGAATGCCAAGGACAAGCACCTGGTGACATTTGCTTCTGGACTGGAACCCTAAGGGAATTTCTTTTAGGATGTTCAGCTGGGGAAACCACAGTCTTGGAGTAGCTGATAGAGGCATTTTAAATATGCTGTATTGTAATAATATTGGAGAGGACCTGGAGATAGGATTGTTATTTTGTTCTCCTTAGGACACGAGCTTCATGACTCTTTGTCTCATTACTTGGCTGGAATCTGAACTACAATGAAGCACAGGTGTACATGCTTAAGCATCCAAATGCCTACTTCTCACACATGCACATGATTTTGGGTGATGGGCTGCGACTTAGTTGCTGCACGAGGCTTAAGCAAAGATGAACAGCTTAAAAAAAAAAAAAAAAAAAAGGAGTGTGGTGCGATGGGAGAAGAGAACATCCATTCAAAATTCATTGAATTCATTGCTGTTGACTCCTGGCAGGGTTTTCAGGTATCATATGGCAGCTTTTCCCACAGCTACCATCGTAAATTTAGGTTACACGATTGAGGGACATCAGTGGTTAATTGAGGGAGTCAGGGGCTCTTTTTGCTGTCCTTATTAATAATATAGCCCTTTTCCTGAGATTTTCCTTGCTTCCCAGTTTCATTGCAGACCCAGTTTTAACTTATATATACACACCTACAGCTTCCGTGGCTTTCTGTCGTAACCATGCTGTGGCCTTTCCCTTCCTGGTTGCACACACACAGCCCCACCACCAGATACCTGTCCCTGCGTTTGTCATGAGTGCCTGGGGACACCCCTTCTTTGTGTGCAGCACTGTGGGTAGGGCTCCTGGTAATACAGCTCCTGTCCTGCAGCAGACCCCTCCATGCCTTTGGGCGCAGAGCAGCCTTACAGCAACCAGCTAGGAGAGCTCAGCCCTGCCTGCAAGGGGATTTTGTGCCACTGACTGTGGCCTGCTGCTGTCTGAGGGCTGACAGAGCTCAGTGTGGTGCACAAAGTCAGGAGCCATGCTGCAATGACTAATTTCTTAAAGCTTCTTGAAGCTTCAGTGTTCCCTTGCTCTCATTTTCTCTAGTCTTTGTGTGCAGTCCCCAACAGGAGGCTGATCCCAGCAGCCGTTTCTGAGCTGCCGCTGCCTCAGAGGAGAGGCAAAGAGGGGAGAGCCCAGCTCAAATCCCAGCCCTGGCCTGACGCACTCGGTGGCAGCGTGTCTCCTGGGAGCATTAAAAGTGATGCACGAAGGAAGCCTGCATGGCAATGAGGCACAGATGTCAGCACAGCCTTCAGTGTCAGCCCGTTTATATCTGCAGAGGGGGAAGCACAATTGGTGCGAGGCAGAGAGACCCAGGGCAGGTTTCTCCTGCGTGGCCAGGACAAGAGGGCACCACAGGGAAATGGGGCAGCACAGTTCCAGGAGCAACATGCCCCAGCAGCCCACCAGCACAAACAGCTCGTGCTGAGAGCCACCAGTACCACGGGGCTGGCAGTGAGCAGAGAGCAGACAGACAGATGGACACACTAAGAGGAGCACAGGCAGCAGGGTGGCCACGCTACACTAGTGCCTCTCACCTGTGTGAGCTCTCCCACCAGCCCCCCACATCTCCCAGTGCCACCACACAGCAGCTCTTCCTCTCTCCAGGCCCACAGTCCTGCAGACGCTAGACTTCGAAGGCAGCACCAACACAGGGCCTTTCCTCTGGTAGATGCCTGGGGGCTCCTGAAGGAGGCCGCCTCCTCCTCCTGCACCTTGTGGCCACTGCCTGGCCTCACAGCAGGGAGCAGAGAGCAAAGCAACGTCACTGCCAGACTGACCCTGAGCAGGGGATGGTCCTACTCGGGCACTGTGGCTTTTTCTGGCTCTCAGCTGATGGATCCATACATAGGAGATGACGTTGGACTTCCTCTGCAGGGCTCCAGCTGGGCACGGTGCAGCTTCTGTAGTCAAAGTCTCTGCGCTTTGAGGAATGACTTTACAAGGGCAAACGCCAGCTACATGTTCAGCTAGATGGCTGAGGCTTTGGCTCTGTTCTCGTGTGTTATCTATTTCTGTCCCCTGCCAAACACGGCGCTTATTGGGTTCAAACTAAGGGTAACAGCAGGTATCCAAGTGTGTGCTGTGAAAAGGATGCCAGCAAAATCAGAAAGGGAGCTGCTCTGCAACTCCCCAGCCCTGCTTTGCTTCTGCAGTAGCAGATGTTGTACCTCAGCAACATCCTCCTTCGTCTGGGGCCAGCTTTTGGGCAGAGCCAAACAATGGTGGTGAAGGCTTGAGGAGCGTTTCAATGTGCAAAACCTTCAACGCAGGAACTCGATACTCCGAAGGGTGATCTGACATCACATCTCCTGCCTACTGCTTTTCAAAAGGATGGGAAACTTTAATTTTCGTATGAGTAGCCCCACGAGGCAGGGAAATTTAATGTGCACCCTGCAGGACAGTGACCGTAAATACTGTTGTATTTCAAGCCACCGAGAACAGGCTTACTCCCGTCTGTTTGCAGTGTTTTTCATTTGTTCATCTTGGTTAGATATTTATTGCCTTTTCTTCCCGTGTGAATTAACCTCCTTCATCGTTCCGCTCCCCTTGTGACACTCACATGTATCACTCATTTATCCTGCTGCTCAAGCTAACAAGAAAGAAATTTTAACCATATTAAGCTGATTCATTAGCTGAAGATGTCTCTCAGCCCCTGTTCCCAGCACTGAGCACTAAGACAAGCTTCCGATGCTTCAGCCCACCCCAGAGATGTTATTAGCTCACGATGAGCACGACCTTTCCTGCTTTACTATTTCTTTGCAGCCCTCGCTGCCACGCCGGTGTAGCTGGCCAGCAGGTCGCCCTCTGCAATTAGCCTGCAGATTTGTGAGGAGAGTTGGTCAAACCCTGGTGGTGTCCAGAATTCAGAGTTTGTTGTGCTGCATTGCCCACACCGTGCGGTGCTCGAGCCACGTCATGCACTGTGCCTGCCCTCGCAGCTGTGGGCGGCGTGGCTTTGCTCAGGACCCCTCACGCAGACAAGCAAGAGATGCACGCTCCCTCCCAAGGGCTGTGGCCAAGAACACTCCCTGACATCAGATTTGGGGTGATGACCTGGCATGCTGCGTGTCAGAGGGTCGCAGTGGCTCAGTGCTTGTTACGAGGAAGGGAGCAGCTGGGGAGGAGGCCAAGGAGCAGTTTTCAGCACCTTCAGTCACCCCGAGGTCTGAGCTCGCCTGCTGTGTGCCAGGTGTCTCAAACAATTTCGTGAGAATCATTTGCTGTAGAAAATGAACCTACTCCAACACTGTGTGTTTCTATGTTATTGCTTTTTTATTTCTATAATGAGGAAAACAGAGAGCAAAAATACATTTCTTGCTCCACAGACCTTGCCATCTAGGCTGAGAGACAAGAAGACTGGTGGACAGATGAAAGGCGGTGGTGAGACAGCGAGGTAGTGGTGGTACTGAGTGCAGCTCCTTAGCATCCCCTTTCCAAGATAATTCATTTTTTTTCCTGGTTTCCTAAGGAATTGGAGCTATGCAATTGCTGCAGCTGCTGGTCTTCCTGCCTGCCTCTCAGACCTAAAGTCTCTGGAATATGTTGGGCAATTTTTACCAAAAATGCCAGAGAATGAGTCTCACGGATACGTAACTCCTAGAGGCATTACCAGATGCCAGTGGCTGGGCAGAACAGCGCATCCCGAGGAGAGGGAAGGGCAGCTCAGCCTCCTCCGCTGTGAGAGGCAGCCCTGGGCCAAGCACACAGCATGTGAACGCTGAAAGCCACTTAGCACATGTTGCTCTGAGCCCGTCAGAGCATGTGCTGCCTCCCGAGCTGTCAAAATACAGAGAGAGAGAGGAAGATGAAGCACTGCAGTGAGGGATTAGTGATCCCGTGACACACAGCTGAAGGAACCAGGGAGGGAGTAAGCGGGATGGAGGAGCCCTGGCCAGTGCTGCCTTACAACAGATAGAGGGGCTGCAAGGAGGGGAGCGGGGTTTTTGTGGGGCAGGATGTGTACAATGACCTGTGAGGAACCAGATTTTGCCAACAAAACGACCGCTTGTAATTAACATTTGTGCACAGGATGTAACTGTGTGCACATGAAGGCTGTGGGGTGAAAAATGTGGCTGCTGAAGTCCTCAAATCAGGGGGGAAGAGGCAGAGCAGAGTCAGCAGCGAGTCAACACCTGCCTCGCTGGTGAGAAATACCTTCAAGAAAAGGCAAATCCATCACTCACCAAGCCTCTCAAGCTCCCATCTCTCCCAGGATCCATGACAAAGCTGCTGAATGGCAAAACAGCAGCAGGAGCATTTAGGAAACTGCTGTGAGCCCTACCTGCAGGGCTGTTAGGGAAGCACACGCCTGGCTCCAGCATCCTGCTGCCACGCGTGCGGGCACAGCTGGCTGAAATGCTTCCCTCAGGCTGCCATTTGCTCCCAAATGCTCACAGGGGGCTGCTTCTGCTGAAGGTAAGGGGAATTCCTTATAGGCATGTCGGACACCTATAGCAGTTATGAAAAGATGAACACGCCACAAACATTTTATGTCATCCTCTGTATTTTGTGGTGCCTGGCCATCGTGCTGTGCTGAGCACATCTGTCCTTTGGCCACACGTGTCTCTAACCAGTGCTAATTCTCTTTTGCATACCTTTATGAAGCCCACTAAGGTGACGCATGAGCTCAGAGAGCCACTAGAACAGCAGAGGGATGGGCATCTTTGGTTAGCTTGCTCTGTGTGGCAGTGGTGACATCTACAAAATAAGGGCAGATTCTGTCACTGTTTTTCTTGAACAATTTCATTAGGGCAGTTGTATTTCACTGCAGTAATTGGTAGTGGAATTACACAACAGAGAATGACAGATAAAAATTACTGACCACGTTGCATGGGGTAGATGTCCATACAGAATGGCTCAGTGAGGGCTCTTGCTTTACTGCACCAGGCAAGGAAAATATCTCTCCTAAGGTTAGGTTTTGCATTTCTAGGTTTTGCATGCAATTTTGTATGCAAAATATTTGTTGAGTGTAAGTGACTATGCTCCAGAGAGTGTTGTGTGCTGAGAAATTGTTTATTATCCTGAAATAATTTAACCTGATCATATGGAAACCACGCTGAACTTAAGAGACCTGGATGCCATACGGGCAGGCTGCCAGGCAGCAGAAAGCAAAGACATTCTGTCCTTGGGGTGGGAAAGGTACGCTGCTGGCACGAGCTCCAAAAAAATCAGCATCAGGAAGTATCTTGGCCAAGAGGAACTTGGCAAAGCATTATTTTAGCTTTGCCGAGGGACTGTGTATGCCCATTGAAATGGTAACATCTGTGGAGGAAGGGCAGAGCGCGCAGAGACAATGCAGTTTTATGGCAGCACTGCTTAGTCAGGGAAAGAGGATCCGAAGGGAGCTGGTGCAGCCAGCTGGCTGGCTGATGAATGCAGCCACGGCTGCGGAAGGGAGCAGAGAGCTCGCCTGTGCTCCATCATCCCGGGCAGCAGCAGCAGAATGAATTTCTGAGGAGTGGCAGAGCTTGGAGCTGAAGTACAGAGGTGTCATTCACAGAATACGGAGCGCTTTTTGGATTCCTAATCATTAGACATGATTTTGATGTGTGAAGAGTTTTCATGAGAAAGCTGGGGCAATGATAAAACTGCAAAGAATCTGAAATTCAGAATATGTGAATGGAGTATTCCATTCAAAGACAAAATACTGTGCTTTTGTTCACAAAATAAGGACAGAAATTAAACATACTGTACAATTATATGATGGATTTATACTGGATTCGCTGTGCACCTCCTGGTGTTGCTCTCTGTACAGGGCACAACAAAGGCTACTTTTTTTATTCTGAAATGTGTTGTGGTGTGCAGCAAAAACAGCTATTAAAGGTACTTAATTATTTTTGCTCAGGTTATTGCCTTTTTAAAAGCCTTTAATGAACTTTAAATGAAGTAGACTTTTTTTTTTTTTTTTTTTTTTTTTTTTTTTTTTTTTAAATTATCAGCTACAAAGTTGCTGCAAATGCCTTATTTACCACAGCTACTGGAACCACAGTAATTAGAGGGACATTGTCAGCTTATCATTTCCTAAAAGTAAATTAATTTCTAAGCCTGCACCTCTCCTTGAACTTCCCTAGGCAATTTCCATTGTTTCCCATGTACCTGCTTAAAAGCAAAAAAAATTTCATTCTCTCTTTTTCCAGGCTTTGAAAGAGCTGTATGAACAGCAGGGAAATGACTTCAAGAAAGCCATAAAACTGATTGCAGAGCCACTTATCAAATGCCTTCCAAAACGAGAGAAATGCATCTTTCCTCATGTCTCCTAACATCACCATCGGTGTTATGTTGGTGTGGCAGCGATGGTGAGGCGGTCACAGACAGCACCAGGATTTGCAGCTGGCAGTGGTCCTTTGGTGTGTAGTGCCTTTAGCATGCTCTTCTGGCATCTAACAGCCGCCCTCGGGAAGATTGATGTTC